CCGCTGCCAGGGATCAGCCCCACAAGGGGCTCGATCATATTTCGGGTGGTGTGAAATGGCTGCAGCCCCCCAGGCCTGCACGAGGCCTTTGCCAGTGCTCCTGAACACTTTTTTTTTTTTTTTTTTCCCTGAAGAATAAAAATTAATCAATTCTCAGCGTCCTGGAGCATGCCGGGGCAGCCGCACCTGGTGCCCGTGGGGGTGGTGCTAATTACCCTGATTAGTGCGCGCTTATCAGGGGGGAGGTGGGGTCGGGGGCGATCCTGGAGCCGGGGAGGAGGAGCAGGAGCAGGTGGGATCCCCTGCGGGGTGTGCAGGGGTTCCCCTGGGGTTTTGGGGCTGGGGTTCCTGTTCCTGCCGGGATCCTCGGGATGCTCGGGGAATCCTTTGTTCCCCCAGCACAGGCTGGGCCCGCCCCGGGAGCTTTTGGGGCGCTCCCTCTTGGGGTTCAGCCTGCCCGGGTGGCTCCTGGAGGTGCCACTGGGATTTTGGGAGCTGGGGCTGGGCTGGTCCCCTCCGTGCCCCTCGTGTGGGGCTGGGGCAGCTCCTCCTGGGGCTCTCCCCTCTCCCAGCCTCCTTCTTTTGGGGAAAAACTCCTGGAAATTGTTCCGGGAGAGCTCCGAGCTCTGCCAGGGCCTGGAGGGGCTCGGGGAGAGCTGCAGAGGGGCTGGGGACAAGGATGGAGGGACAGGACACAGGGAATGGCTGGGAGTGGGAATATTTAGGCGGATACTGGGAAGGAATTTTGGCCGTGGGGATGCGAGGCCCTGGCCCAGGTGCCCAGAGCAGCTGGGGCTGCCCCTGGATCCCTGGCAGTGCCCAGGGCCGGGCTGGAGCTCCGGGACAGCGGGAGGTGGCCCTGCCCTTGTCCCTGAAATTCGCTTTTAGCGGGGCCGGATTCCCGAATTCCCGGGGATCCTCCCGGCAGCGCGGCCGCCCCGGTTCCCGATTTGATCCCGGCCCGTGCCAGGGCGATGCCAGCCGCCCCTGGGCGCTCCCAAGGCGGGATTTGCCCTGCCCGGGCCGAGGATTTGGTTTTTTTTAGCAAATCCCGGCGCTCTGCGGGGCCGCGCTGTCACATGGAGCCGCGGCTGACTCCGCCGGCAGATGAGTAATGCAGCCCTGACTCATTTGCTGCCGCTTTTATTTGGGTTTTTTATTTATTTTCGATTTTTTTTTTACATCCTCAGCCCCTTGGCTTCATCTGCTGCTGGCAGCTCCTCGTGCCTCTCCTTCGGGAGCTGCTGGAGATTCCCGGGGCTTGGCATGGGAATTGTCCTTGAGGCAGCTCAGCGGGGCTGTGGGGGGGTTTGGGAGTGGAATTGTGAATTCCGGTTTTTGGAATATCGGCTTTGCCTCGGGGAGAGGGGTTTGGTGGCAGCTGCCCCCCCCAGGCTCTCCCTGTGCCAGCTGATCTTGGAAAGAGCCCGTTCCAGGAGCGGCTTTGTGGGTTCATTTTGGTTAATTTTGGTTATTTCGGTTAATTTTGGAGGGGGGTTTTGGTCAGCCCCCCTGGCAGGAGGAGTTTCACAGCGTTGATCTGCCCCACGGATCCAGGGGAAGCTGGAGCTGCCTGGGGGGAGCAGCAGCCAAAATTCCCGGGTGGATTTTGGCCAAAAGGGTATTTTAGCCACAGGCTGGCCTGGGCAGGGATCTGCGGGGAAATCCCGGCTCCCCTCGTTTTCCCGAGGAGCAGCAGCCCCCGGAGCCGTGCCAGGGGCTGGCACGGGATGTGGGGTCACGGAATTCCCGGATTTAGGTCTGGCAGGACCTTAAATCCCATGCCAGCCCTGCCACCCTCCCCGAGGATCGCTGCTGACCCCGCCTGGCCTCGGGCACTGCCAGCGATGGGAATTCCGGGGCCCCGCAGCTGCTCCGTGAATTTTTTTGGGGGGGGTTGTGTTATTTTGGTGTGCCCAGGAGGAATTCGGGCACGGGAGGTGCCCGTGCATCCCTGGCATCTCCTGCCGGGGGTGCCAGCCTGGCTCCTGGGGCGGTTTCGGGGGCGGCATCCCACGGGCTGTGCCCAGCCTGGCACTGCCGCCGGAATTCCGCGGGGCACGGGGCTGGCAGCGGGGCAGGGAGGTCACAGGAGCTCCTGGCAGGGATTAAAGGAACCATCTGTTCCATAATCCCATTCCACAACTGCCTTCCCCACACCCTTGGAGGTGCTTGCCTTTTAGATTGATTTTTTTTAAACAGGAGGGGAAAAAATATATTTATTTTTAATTTTTTGCTATTTTAATCGGGCAAAAAAAAAAATTGATTTTCATGAATGAAAAATGCCTTTTTAAAAAAAATTTATTATTATTTTTTCAATGGGGAAAAATGATGTCCTGAGCGGGGACAAGCCCCGACGGGCACGGGGGGCTGCCGGGATGATCCCCAGGACGCTGGTGCCGGCGGGTTTTCCATCCGCGCTCCGAGCGGCGGAACGCGCGGCTGTCCCCAGAGCAGGGGCGGCTCCTCCGGGCACCCACGGTGCCCATCCCGGGATTATTTTGGGAAGCGGCGGGGCCCTGGACAGGGTTCGAGCCCCTTTCCTGCCAGGGGAGAATAATAAAATATCCGGAGTTTGGGAGCTGGGTCTGCCAGGGACGGGTTTAAATCCCGATTTTTCTTGGCTAAGCCAGGCGGGATCCCCAGAATTGAGGCTGAGCGCAGTGACAGCTCCGGGGACAGTCGGGAATGGGGGGTGGCACCAGGGGGGACACAGGGCAGGG